TGTAGTGATCGGCCACTTCGACCACGCGACCCTCCCTTGTAAGTATAGTCGCCTTTTTGTCTTCCTGTGGTTTCCATAAAAGTTTTTGTAAAATTGTAGTCTTATCGGCAGTCTTATCATTTTCATATTTAAGCAACTTGCGATGTGTGAGTTGGGCTTTTTTGAACTTTTTTTGCTTTTTTAAACTTATTTTTCTTTCAGGTCGCAATTGTTCGATTATTTGAAGAATAGAATGACCGCCCTAGCCCCTAATTTAACTTGCTTACTCGGTGAGCTTGTCGGTGCTCGACTGATCTCACACGCTGGATCTCTCGTTTCATTGGCTAAGGCACCTGCTTCTACAGTACAAATTCTTGGTGCTGAGAAGGTATGAAGAATTAAGTTGCAAAGGTTTTTGCTCTGATAACTTTCCATTTAGGCATTGTTCCGTGCCCTGAAGACCAAGAAAGATACTCCCAAGTATGGTCTCATCTATCACGCACAGCTTATTACCCAGGCTCCTGCAAGACTCAAGGGAAAGGTCGATACTGCTTCTCTTCTATTCCTTTTTTGCTTGATTTCTTGTCGTACCTCGTCGTCGTTCCAGATGGCGCGTAAACTCGCAGCAAAATGTGCCTTGGCGACGCGTATAGACGCTTTGGCTGAGGATTCGAGAGGTGCAGAAGTTGGAATGGAGTGCAGAGCTGGTTTGGAGGCAGTTCTGCGTTCAGAACAGGAACGAGGACCAAAGACGATCAGTGGTGGCTCTCACAAACATGAAAAATACCACTTCAAGAGGTGTGAGGCGCATGTGATTTGCCAAGATTCTCTGTTGAACTAAAATTTCAGTGAAACTTTCGAGTATAATGAGGCTGCTGATGTTCCGAAGAAGCCTCAGAAGAGAAAGTTCAATGATGATGAGGAAGAGCCCGCAACTAAGAGAACAAAAGTAAATTCAATCATTTGACGCTTTCTTTTTCTTTCTTACGTGATCATCTATCTTTTCATTTTTTTCAGGTAGAAGCGGAGGAGAGCCAGGAGACCCAAGAAACCCCAGAAGTTCCGAAATCTGAGAAGAAGAAAAAGAAGAAGAAGGAAAAGAAGATCAAAGAGGAAGGAGAGGAAGAAGAAGAATAGAAGAAATTGTTACGTTGTTACATCGTTGTTTTTCACTTTGTTTCTAGCGGTTGAGTTGACCCCGCAGTGACCATGCGTGCGCTTGTTATTGTTACTATGTTGTTGAAGTTACAGTATTGATAGCTGCATATTTAATTACATAAATCATCTATTTTCTCTCCTAGCTTTCTAAGTTTTCTTGTCATTTCCATGAAATCGAACAGCAGTTGCTTTGAAATTAGCTGTTTGTTTTTATCTAGTCGTCAAAAGACTAGTTTTTTTTTCAAAAGTATGGAAAAGTGTGACGTTAGTTATGTCCTCCGAAGAAATTTTTGGGAAGCTTCAAATATTTGGTAGGGCTTGTTTTACGGGTATGGCTGCTTTGAATTTTTTGAAATCTCAAAATAGTATATTTGCAAAAACGCTGTCACTGTGCGCTAAAGTTGCCCGTATGCCGAACGTGTGCCA